TTTTTTTCCATTTGAGAAGTAGGGAAAAATAAAAAGTTGAAGGCAAGAAACGAGTTCTGTCGTAAACAAAAGGAAGTGTATTATCTGGAAAGCAACACTCATACAGTCACAACAGAAAGGCCTACCAGCATTTTTGGATAAACTTTGTAACACTGAAAACACTTGGCCTCTTTAATAATGTATTATTGAACATTATAGCCAAAATCATTTATATTTAAGCAAAAAAAAATCTTGAGTGTAGTGGAAGTCTCAGGTATGCAAAGGAATTATTATTTAATGATGTGGACTGTCTTATATAAAACCTTTCATACTATATTGTGTAAGACAGGATGCTGAACTAGATGGACCCTCACTGGTCTGATCCAGCAGGGCTCTTCTGACGTTCTTATGAAGCCCTCGGCCTCTCTGCCCTGTTGTTGGCCCTCCAGAGGAACTGGCTGGCCCCTGTGTGAGACGGGATGCTGGACTGGATGGACCCTCACTGGACTGATCCAGCAGGGCTCTTCTGATGTTCTTAGGAAGGCCTTGGCCGCTATGCCCTATTATTAGCCCTCCAGAGGAACTGGTTAGCCACTACGTGAGACAGGATGCTGGACTAGATAGACCCTCACTGGTCTATATTTAAGCAAAAAAAAATAATCTTGAGAGTGTAGTGGAAGTCTCAAGTATGCAAAGGAATTATTATTAAATGATGTGGACTGTCTTATATAAAACTTTTCATACTATATTGTGTAAGACAGGAGGCTGGACTAGATGGACCCTCACTGGTCTGATCCAGCAGGGCTTTTCCGATGTTCTTAATGAGTAAAACATTGTCTTTCATTTCATTCATTCCCCAGTGGTCCCCAAAATTCCCTACTTTTCCTGTTGGAAACCCTGAAAAACTCATCAGATTTTTTTCAAGCTGTACATCTCGAGTGCGAAAAACTTTGCCTTAAGAAGCATTTCGCTCATATTTTATAAAAGTTTTCTTTCCCCCCCCCCCCCCAGTAATGCCCCAAATTTCCCATTGGAAAAAATGAAAAGTGCTTGGGGAAAACTGGTCGTTCCCCCCCCCCCAAGCCTTACCTCTCTAGCTGTGGCCCCTCTTACAGAATGCATACGTGTCCTGTCATGAGTTGTTGTCTCAGTGCAACATCCAGCGGGGGACACACACACACACCTGCGCAGCAGGTCAAGGGATGGATGCAGGTCATGCAGTTGCCAGGCAACTACATCTGCCTGCAATTGTGCTCTCCCCCCCCCCCATCTGAGACCAGCTGAAAAAACACTGGAGGTACACATTCCTCTGTGACTCACGAACTGGGAAAACAGGCTCCTGGTATGCGTGTGGTTTTGCAGCATCAGCAAAGAGGGAACGAATGCAAAAGCAGTGCTGCTAGAAAGGGAAGCAACAGGCTGCGGCTCCGGGCGCCACATTCCTCTGCGGGCACCGTTGTGGGGCTCAGGGGAACCTTTAAAGCAGAGGTGTCAAACTCATTTATGACGAGGGCCGGATCTGACATAAATGTCACTTTGTCGGGCCGGGCCGTGTGTGCCATCAAACGTACACGCCAGTACTGGAAATATAAACTTTATAAAGGGCACAGGCAAACCCAATTAACGTTCTTTTTCGCTCAAAGTACAAAGAAAAGTGACTGAATCCCTAGCAGTAAAAGCGATTTGCTGGGGAACCCACAAAGCCCTGATAAATGTAATCATATGCAAGACTAGATTTTTCCCCCCAAGGGATACCATAAAAGGGAGAGTACTTTACATTTCCATACATGCCAGCTGCTTGCGGGTCGAGTAAGAGCACTGGACGGGCCTGTTCCGGCCCTCGGGCCTTACGTTTGACACCCTGCTTTAAAGGGACACAGGGATCGAAACTGATTGGGCCGTTTCTTCCGATTCCCCCCCTTTCCACTGTAGCATCTCCCCCGCTCCTTCCCAGTTTGGGTCATTCTCCTGGGGTCCCGTCTTCCCGGGGCCAGACGCGCAAGTCCCGGTCTGCGATACACCAAAATGCAGTTTATTGCAGCAAGGCACAGGGCCGCGAGGAGAGCGGCGGAGAGGAGGTCCCAGAGCGGGGGGGGGATGGGGGGGCCTGTACAAGGAGAATAGATATAATTGCACGGTGGGAGAGGGGAGTGGGTGTCACTGCTGGGCGAGGGAGGGGGCCGTGTAGGTCTGGAAGCGCTGGTGGGCCCTCTCCTGGGTCAGCAGGCGCAAGGCCACCGTGTCCACCGACTCCTCCAGGCCGGGCCGCTGGGAGAGTTCGACGGTGTAATCGTTGGCCTGAAGGGAATAAAAATAAGGCAGTCAGAGGTGCCAGCGCTGTGGGGGTGGGGCGGGGTGGAAGGTGAGTGCCAGATTTTGGGCGGGCTGGTGGCGTCTCGCAAGAAAACAAACAACACCGGGTATGGAAATAGAACACTGGAGATTAAATTTAAATTAGAAGAAGAAGAGATTGGATTTATACCCCGGCCCTTCACTACCCAAAGGTGTCTCAGAGCGGCTTACAAACTCCTTTCCTTTCCCCATCCCACAACAGACACCCTGTGAGGCAGGTGGGGCTGAGAGAGCTCTTGACAGAAACTACTCTTTTTCAAGGACAGCTCTCGTCAGAACTACGGCTTGCCCAAGGTCATCCTGCAGCTGCGAGTGGAGGAGTGAGGAATCAAACCCGGCTCTCCCAGATTAGAGTCCGCGCACTTAACCAGGACGCCAAACTGGCTCAAACCTATAAGTAAGCATACATTTTTAAAATTTAGATTCATATAAATTCCAGTGTCATATTCCCATATATGGTGTCGTTTGCTTCCTTGAGTCTATTCCACCCTGATCCCGGTCCTTGTCTTTGAATTATCCTCGGTGGCGTCTCGCCGCGGTCGGAGTGACACCCCGGCGTGGCAGCCCGGCCTTCCCCCGGCCCTTCCCGGTGGTTCTACTCACCAGCTGCAGGGAGGCCAGCAGGCAGCGACACACCTCGAAGGCGGGCTCCCCGGCCACCAGGCTGGCGAAGGAACGCCACTCGCCCACCTGGCCCAGGCGGGAGACCAAGCGGTCCCCGTAGCTGTGGATGTCGAAGGGTCCCTGGGCTTCCTGTCGAGAGAGGGGCGCCGGTGAGACACGCCGCCGCCGCTCCTCCCCCCACTCGCCTCCCCCCACAGCGTCGGCCCCCTCCTCTTCACCTGCTCCTCCAGCTGCGGCCCCATCTTCTCCTCCCAGTCCCGGATGCGCTGCGACAGCATCGTCTCTCGAACATACTTTTGGGAGTGGGCCATGAACCCCCGGCCGGGGGGGGGGGGGGCGGAGGAGATGCAGAGAGAGAGAGAGAGAGAGAGAGAGAGAAAGGGGGCCTCTGAGATTCCGGGGACGGAGGAAGCGGGGCTCTTCAGCACCACGCGGCCTGTCCCTCTCTCCCGCCTCCCAGAAGCAGGAGAGCCCAGGCAAGGGGAGTGCTCCGAGCAGAGCGCAGAGTTTTAATTTGATTCCGTCCCTTAAAATAAAGTCAAAAGGCAATCGCAAGGCGGGGGCTAAGGTTCAGTCTGTGAAGCAAAAGAGGGGCAACGGTGAACCTCCAGCCGGCAGGTTCTGCCTCCAAATGCTGCTTTGTGCAAGCTTGTTCTTCCCTTCTTGTTTAACGTACAGAGGTATACTGCCTCTGCAGAAAAGATTGGATTTAGACCCCGCCCTTCACTACCCAAGGGAGTCTCAGAGCGGCTGACAAACTCCTTTCCCTTCCCCTCCCCCCAACAGACAGCCACCCTGTGAGGTAGGGGGGGCTGAGAGAGCTCTTTCGAGGACTGCTCTTGAGAGAATAGCTCTGAGAGAACTTGTGACTGACCCAAGGTCACACCAGCAGCTGCATGTGGAGGAGTGCGGAAGAAGAAGAGATTGGATTTAGACACTGCCCTTCACTACCCAAGGGAGTCTCAGAGCGGCTGACAAACTCCTTTCCCTTCCCCTCCCCACACCAGACACACACCCTGTGAGGCAGGTGGGGCTGAGAGAGCTCTTTCGAGGACTGCTCTTGAGAGAACAGCTCTGAGAGAACTTGTGACTGACCCAAGGTCACACCAGCAGCTGCATGTGTAGGAGTGGGGAAGAAGAAGAAGAGATTGGATTTATACTCCGTTCTTCACTACCCAAGGGAGTCTCAGAGCGGCTTACAGTCTCCTTTCCCTTCCCCTCCCCACAACAGGCACCCTGAGAGAGCTCTTTCGAGGACTGCTCTTGAGAGAACTTGTGACTGACCCAAGGTCCCACCAGCAGCTGCGAGTGGAGGCGTGGGGGATCAAACCCGGTTCTCCCAGATTAGAGTCCGCACACTTAACCACTACACCAAACTGGCTCTCGGAGGGGTCATTTCATCAGTCGTGGATAATAGCTGTGGATGGACCATTGTGTGTTTGACCTTTAAGTCACCTGCCCCATGCTGGAGTGGTTCTTAAGGTCGTTCTCTATGGGTCCGCCGGTGGTGCATAACTTTGGCGGCTGCTTGTGTACGCCCACATGCCGTATGGGAGGGGCAGGATACATACCACGTTCTTCCGCACCAGTTCCTCGTAACTCAGGCAGTCGGGGACTTCGTTGAGACCTGTCGGCAAAGGCAGAAATCGAAAGGCCTCTTGAGGCAGCCTGCCTTCGCGGAGCTGTGATTGCAAGACTGTAACTTGCCCGGAGCTGCGGAACGGCTCTGTGGCAGACGGGTGAGGCTCCTGTGTCCCGTCCGCTGGGCATGACGCCGGCTCCCGGATAACTCCCCGGCAGTGGGAGCTGATATGTCTACGCGTGATCCTCGGGCTCTGTTTTTGACGGGAGTGGGGCGTAGGGACCACACACGCCACGCCAGTCTCGTGGTGCCTGTGCTGGCTCCCAGTCTGCTTCCAGGTTCAATCCAAGGTGCCGGTGTGAACCTTTAAAGGCCTCTGTGGCTTGGCACCAATGCTCCCCCTAAGCTGAGTCAGTGTGAGCTAGCCCACAGGTTTTTAGCCTCCGGCTCACACATTTTTGTCTCCGCGCAGGAAGGATGTGGCTCCAGAGCCAACGGATTTATGCAGCAGCCAGATCCCCTGCTCACAACTTTAATGCCCGGAGCTCGCAAAGTAGGATTTTTGCTCACAGGACTCCACAGCTCAGAGGGAGCATTGCTTGGGACCACCATACGTTAATGGCCACCTTCTCCCCTGGATGCTGAACTGCAGGCCGGAAGGTCGGTAGTTTGGCAGTTCGAGACCCGAGTGCCGCGTGACGGCGTGAGCTCCCGTCTCTGGTCCCAGCTCCTGCCAGCCTAGCAGTTCGAAAGCAAGAAATTGCAAGCAGATAAGTAGGTGCCACTTCGGTGGGAAGGTGACAGCGTTCCGTGCGCCTCGGCGTCTAGTCATGCCGGCCACGTGACCACGGAAGCGTCTTCGGACAGCGCTGGCTCTTCGGCTCGGAAATGGAGATGAGCACCGCATCCCTAGAGTCTGATTCGACTGGCTTTCGAGCAAGGGAGACCTTTACTCTCCCCTGGGAGCCTACCTGACCCTTCCCATTGTCTTTGGAGGCCCTGCCTTGGGCGCTCCCGTTATCGGAGGCTAGAAGGGCCTTCTCGGTGGTGGTGCCCGAACTCTGGTACATCCTTCAAAGGGAGATTCATTTTCTTCCCTCTATCGGCCCTGCCCTGGACAGCCCCGGCAAGCCCGGTCTCGTCAGACCTCAGAAGCTCAGCAGGGTCGACTCTGTAGCAAGTACTTGGATGGGAGACCTCCTTGGAATGCCAGAGGTCGGGAGGCAGGGGCAGGCTTTATTCAGCCACCTCTCTGAATATCCTCCAGGCCCCCAGTAGGGGTCAGTCACCAGAGGTCGCCATGACCCCCAGGTGCACAGACATACTCACACATTAAAAAAAAAGTATCTCTCTATCGTTCTCTCCCGTCCGTGGTAAAGACCTGTCTCATTCCTTTATTGATCCCCTTTCCTGTTGATTTTTTAAACACGGGATTTAAAAATTATATATTATATAATTGAAGGATTGGATTTCTACCCCACCCTTCACTACCCAGAGTAGTGTCAGAGCGGCTTACAAACTCCTTTCCCTTCCCCTCCCCACAACAGACACCCTGTGAGGTCGGTGGGGCTGAGAGAACTCTTGACACGAACTCTTGCCCAAGGTCATCCAGCCAGGTGCAAGTGGAGGAGTGGGGGATCAAACCCGGTTCTCCCAGATTAGAGTCCGTGCTCCTAACCACGACACCAAACTGGCTCTCACCAAACTGGCTCTTGGACGGGAGACCTTCTTGGAATACCAGCAGTCAGGAGGCGGGGGCAGGCTTTATTCAGCCACCTCTCTGAATATCCTTCAGGCCCGCAGTAAGGATCAGTCACCAGAGGTCGCCATGACTTCCAGGTACACACACACTCACACATTAAAAAAATCCCTCTATCATTATCTCCCGCCCGTGGTAAAGACCTGTTTCATTCCTTTGGGGTTCCCTTACTGATCCTCCTTGTTGATTTTTAAACACAGTATTAAAAAAATTACACATAATAGAAGAAGAAGAGATTGGATTTATACCCCACCCTTCACTTGGAGTCTCAGAGCAGCTTACACACTCCTTTCCCTTCTTCTCCCCACAACAGACACCCTGTGAGGTAGGCGGGGCTGAGAGAGCTCTTTCAAGAGCTGCCCTTTCAAGGACAGCTCTGAAAGAACTGTGGCTTGCCCAAGGTAATCCAGCAGCTGCAAGTGGAGGCGTGGGGCATCAAACCCGGTTCTCCCAGGGAGCCCACACACCTAGCCACCACACCAAACTGGCTCTCTATACTAATAATAGTAATAATATGGCACAACAATAATATATAATGTAATAATGGCATTTATAGAATTTTAAGTTGGTTTTGGTGTTTTCTAACTATTCACTGCCTCGGGGGCCCTAATTGGGTGTAAAGGCAGGATAAAAATATCTTAAATAACAAAAATATATTTTTTTCCCTTCCAGTCCAGGGCACCCAAGGAGCAATGCCTCCAAGCGGCACGTGGGTTTCCTTCAGTGGACCCCTCTGGTCTGGTCTGCTCTGCTCTGCCCAGGGCGCCAAGCCAGGGGCCTTCCCTTGTGCCACGAACTGCCTTGGCATTAGCAGGCAGATCCCTGCACTGGAGGAAAGAGCCGCGGGTAGCGCGGCGGGCATGCAGGGCCCTCCCCCTCCTCCAGCACTGCCGGCTGAATACTTCATGGCCTCGCTTGGTTTGCCAGGGCCTAGAAGCCGACGACCCTCGCGCCATCGCTCCTGGCCCACGACTCTGCCAGCTCCTTAGCGGTGAAGTCCAGGACAAGAGATCACGGGACGGGCTGAACGTGTAAGGAAAAACAACCGTGATATCACGAAAAATATAACTTCTTCGATTGGTCTCAAGTTTTTCTTAAATTGGTCTCAAGTTTTTCTTAAATTCATAGAATAGAATAGGATAGAATAGAATAGGATAGGTTAGGATAGGATAGAATAGAATACAATCATAGAGCTGGAAGGGACCTACAATGTCATCTAGTCCAACCCCCTGCATAATAGAACATGTATGGTTGCCCAGTTGGGAAGCAACTCTTGACACGCTCAGAAACATTCACATCTTCTAAATCAGGGGTCCCAAAACTGGGTGGGAGGCTAGGACATGACTTCAGTTAAACCCATTATCTGGCCCAGGACTCACCATCCTTAATTTTTTTTTACTTCTCTAGATACATCACAATCCCCCCCCCACACACACACACACTGATTGCTCTAACTATTTAATCTTCCCCAGAAAACCCTCCCTGATTTCTCCTAAGAACTCCATATACCCTCCCCATAGGAATCGGAGCGCAGGTGTCGGCTTCCTGCCCCATAACCTGGCACTGTGGCTCAAGCAATGCTCTCTCTAAGCTGTGGGCTCAAGTTTTTCTTAAATTGGTCCCAAGTTTTTCTTGACAGTATAGCGCTCTATAGACCGTTTCACTCGAGGTTTCATCAGATGAGACCTTACACCTTTTGTATTTTTGCTTACATCATTTTGTTATGTGTAACCCCCGGAGGGGATAATTTTTTTGTTGCATTTTCTAAAAACTACAAAGAAATAAGGGTATCTACAAACTACGGGAGAAAGAAAAGAAAACCACTAAAAACTCAAAAGATGGGAGCCATTATAAAGCTTATAAAAATAGTTAAGTTATAAAAGGCAACTATGGGCTACCCTCTGAAATTCTTTCAAGACTGAATGATGTAAGTTAGAGAGGAAGAGGGAGCAAAACCACAAAACCCTGCCAACAAAAGTCCGCATGGTCAAAGCAATGGTATTCTCAGTTAGTACTGTATGGCTGCGAGAGTTTGACTATAAGGAAGGCCGAGCGCCGAAGGATAGATTCTTTTGAACTATGGTGCTGGAGAAGACTCTTGAGAGTCCCTTGGACTGCAAGAAGATCAAATCAGTCAGTCCTAAAAGAAATCAACCCTGACTGTTCCCTGGAAGGCCAGATAATGAAACTGAAACTCAAATACTTTGGCCACCCAATGAGAAGGGAGCACTCACTGGAGAAGACCCTGATGCTGGGAAAGATTGAAGGTCAAAGAAGAAGAAGACGGGGACGGCAAAGGACGAGATGGTTGGACAGTGTCATCGAGGCAACGAAAGACGGAAGACAGGAGGGCCTGGCGTGATGTGGTCCAGGGGGTCACGAAAAGTCGGACTCGACTGTGCGACTGAACAACAACAACAATTAATTTGATGAAACCTCGAGTGAAACGGTCTATGGAGCACCACGCCGTCAAGAAAAACTGGAGACGGATTTAAGAAAAACGTGAGACCGATTTACTTCAAAGAAAATTAAAGATGATCTATTTTTTCCCTAACAAGGTTTCATCGTTATATCACGCTTGTTTTCCCTTACAAGTTCAGCTTTTTAGCAGTGGGCAGAGAGGCTGAGCCCCCCGCGGCAGCCGGTGTGGGCTGGAGAAGCAATTCCCCAGCTGGTGCCCAGTACCTATCACGGCCTCTGGCGCCTCCTCCTCCTCTGCAGCTCCCGGCGCGGGGATGTCATCGTGCTCCACATAATCATCTGTGGATGGAGAAAGGGTTTGGTTAAGGCTGATGCAAAAAGAAGAAGAAGAGATTGGATTTATGCCCCGCCCTTCACTTGGAGTCTCAGAGCGGCTTACAAACTCCTTTCCCTTCCCCTCCCCGCAACAGACACCCTGTGAGGTAGGTGGGGCTGAGAGAGCTCTGACACAAACTGCTCTTTTTCAAGGACAGCTGTGCCAGAGCTTGTGACTAACCCAAGGTCACACCAGCAGGTGCAAGTGGAGGAGTGGGGAATCAAACCCTGTCCTCCCAGATTAGAGTCCGCACACTTAACCACTGCACCAGACTGGCTCTACACCAAAAGAAGCCCTTTGGGGATATGTTTGAATAGAGGGACTGCATATAAATCAAAGCTCCCCCACCCCACCCCCGATTGCCATGAAAATACAAAACAGCAAAAAAAAACACCTTGAGAGTCTCTCTCACGTGTGCATTCTTTCTACAAACACAGCCTTACGTATTCCCCACCCAAAAGAGCTACGGATTGATCGGCCAAGTTAGGCACGTCTCATTTCAAGTACATGAAGGGCTGTCGTACAGAGGATGGAGCGGAATTGTTTTCTGTTGCTGGTCGCTGGGGTAAGGGGGGAGGGAATAATAAAGGGGAAAACTGATGTATCTGATGTTTGGCTATGTTATGTAAACTTGAGGGAAAGGATTGTGAATGGATAGGAAATGTTAAAAAAAATCAATACAAATTTAAAACATTATTACAAAAAAACAAAACAAAACCAAAAAGCAATGCAGATTCTGTGAATTGAGGCAGATCATGAGAGGGAGGGCAGGAACGGTTGCCTCCGTGCTTAGTTCTCGCGGCCCTTTCTGACACGCCCGGGGAAATGCCAATCGCCACTTTGGGGTGGCGATTGGGATCAAAATTAATTTCCAAAAATAGATACATATTGGTCAATATACAATATGAGATAAACCAACTAGCACTATGTGAATGTTCTGGTCAGTATCTACTTCATATATCTTCCATTGTCTTGCTACATGTCCAATGTATAGTTTGTTTATCTCGTACTGTATATTGACCAGTATGTATCTCTTTTTGGAAATTAATTTTGATCCTGTCTTTTTAATACCATTTTTAATAATTCTGGATAAATTTTTATCAAGGGGTCTTTCTATTACCTGTATTAAATACAAAGCTTTGTTTTTATAAGAGGAGGAGGAGACTGGATTTATACCCCGCCCTTCACTACCCAGCGTAGTCTCAGAGCGGCTTACAAACTCCTTTTCCTTCCCCTCCCCACAACAGACACCCTGTGAGGTAAAAGAAGAGATTGGATTTATACCCTGCCCTTTACTACCCAAAGGAGTCTCAGAGCGGCCCACAATCTCCTTCCCCTCCCCACAAGACACTGTGTGAGGTGGGTGGGGCTGAGAGAGCTCTTTCAAGAACTGCCCTTTCAAGGACAGCTCTGACAGAACTATGGCTTGCCCAAGGTCATCCAGCAGCTGCAAGTGGAGGAGTGGGGAATCAAACCCGGTTCTCCCAGATTAGAGTCACTACACCTCATGTGGAGAAGTGGGGAATCAAACTCGGTTCTCCCAGATTAGAGTCTGTGCGCTTAACCACTACACCAAACTGGCTCTCAGTAGCTCTCCTGACGAAGGCTTATGACGTAGCCTGTACGGCAAAACGCACGGGGACTTTGTATAACCAGTCATCTATCGCCTGGCACTTTTCCCTTTTTTGTCCTCCAATCAGAAGCCTTGCCGGGCAAACAGATTACAGTCTGCGTGCTTAATCACTACACCAAACTGGCTCTCAGTAGCTCCTGACGAAGGCTTATGACGCAGCCTGTATGGCAAAACGCACAGGGACTTTGTATAACCAGTCTTCTATCGCCTGGCACTTTCCCCTTTTTTGTCCTCCAATCAGAAGCCTTGCCGGGCAAAAACACCATAAGGGCCCACCCACTCTCTAAAGACACTTGGTGGGCATGGAACAAGGCATTCTTGGGGCACTGCCTTGGGGATCCCTGGTCTAGAAGCAGCCGTGTTCTTTTTCCCCCTGGGGACCAGGATGACGGGGCCAACGGCAGCAAACCGAGCAAGGGAGAAGGAAATGGGCATTTAGGGGAAAGGAAAAGAGAAACTCTGGTTTTGGGAGAGAGATTTCAGAGCAGCTGCACAAATGGAGGCCCTGGAATTCCCCAGTTTGGTGTAGTGGTTAAGTGCGCGGACTCTAATCTGGGAGAATCGGGTTTGATTCCCCACTCCTCCACTTGCACCTGGCTGGATGACCTTGGGCAAGCCATAGTTCTCTCAGAGCTGTTCTCTCAAGGACAGTACTCGAAAGAATTCTCTCAGTTTGGTGTCGTGGTTAAGTGCACGGACTCTAATCTGGAAGAACTGGGTTTGATTCCCCACTCCTCCACTTGCGCCTGGCTGGATGACCTTGGGCAAGCCATAGTTCTCTCCGAGCTGTTCTCTCAAGGACAGTACTCGAAAGAATTCTCTCAGTTTGGTGTCGTGGTTAAGTGCACGGACTCTAATCTGGAAGAACTGGGTTTGATTCCCCACTCCTCCACTTGCGCCTGGCTGGATGACCTTGGGCAAGCCATAGTTCTCTCCGAGCTGTTCTCTCAAGGACAGTACTCGAAAGAATTCTCTCAGTTTGGTGTCGTGGTTAAGTGCACGGACTCTAATCTGGAAGAACCGGGTTTGATTCCCCACTTCTCCACTCGCACCTGGCTGGATGACCTTGGGCAAGCCATAGTTCTCTCAACCATGGGAAAATGGGAAAACGTTGTCAATTAACATTTGTCAGCTACTTCTCGCGTCCTGTGGGCAAACCCGACAAGGCTTTTGTCCCTCCCTGGATTTGCTTAACGTTTGTAATGATGTAAGCTCAAATATACGGCTGTGTTGTTTGTTTTGCTAGGAAAGCTGTTCGAAACAAAAAAATAAAAACTAAGGAAAAAAGAAAAAAAAACCACCACGGAAGGCAAAAAGTAAAATGCAGCGACGGTCTCAAGGTGGACTCTGGGTACCCCAAACTCTTTGGGCTGGACTCCAGATGCGCCGCAGTGGGAAAAGAGCTCCATGGGAGGAGGGGAGCCAGTGCGGAGAAGTCTCTGTCCATGGCAGCCACCCCCTTGGCCTCCCAAGACCGGGGGCTCAGAGAGAAGGGTGCTGCTGGGTGATCTCAACTGGCATCGAGCCACAGCTCACACTAGTCCAAGGCCACTGAAGCGGCTCCTTCTGGTGGAGCGCAGCCCCCTCCACGACAGGCTGGCTCCTCTATCAGTGACCTGTGCTGCCACCAGCTAACAACCTCACACCGTCTCATCTCGCTTGGGCGCCGACAAGCCGTCAGATGAGAAGGGTGCCCAGGAGCAGCACCCAGGGCTGGGCTGGGCGCACCCCCTTCTCCCATGGGCACCGCTGTTTCCCGTACCCCGGCCCTGCCCGGAAAGGAAGGGGCTCCCCGTCTCGAGCCAGCCGGCCTCCCCACCGCCGCAATTACCATCCGCCTCTGCAGCTTCCGCTGGGCAGCCAGCCGTTCCTTCACGTGCTTCCAGTAGAGGATTTCCAGATCTGCTCAGAGACAAGACAAAACAGCCTGAGGATCAGGTCCCTCCGCAGCACGTGGCCTACAGGGAGGCCCCCCCCCCCCGCAGTCTCATAACCCGACATTCAAGTGCATTTTGGCCAGGCTTGGAACGCTGGCGACTCACTGCTGTCCCCGGAAGAAGCTCATTTCTTCCTTCCCTGCCACAGGTGAGGAGGCTGTCCCCCCCCCCCCCCCCAGCGCTGCCCGCCGAGCGACCGGCTCACATGCCTGAGCGGACACTCCACTCGGCCCATCGCAGGAGCCGGTCGCCGCTGCTTGTCACTGCCATTGACTTATTTAAAATGTTGATTTGCTCCCTGTCTCCTTTGCGGAACTCAAGGCAGCTTACGATACAACCATTCCAAAAAGCAATCGGAATAAAGCAACAGTTCTAAAACACACACAAAAGGTTTCCCTTTAAAAACTCCTCTCCTTGCTAGAACCCCCCACAGCCCGGCATCTGACTGTCCAGGTGGAGGTAAACAGGCCAAGCGCAAAGCCAGGATGATGTTGAAGGCAGGTGTTGCAGAATTTGGGGTTCCATGAGTCTGGGCCTTTCTGTTTTTCTATGCTATGTAGGCTTTGCGGTCACTGACTCTGGTTCCTTGGTTCAGGAGTCCCATAAGCCTTTGCGCTCCTGCTGGGAGCCCAGGCGTAGGAACTGAAGCCTTGCCATCAGTGGCTATTAGCCACAAGGTATAGATAGGGGCTCTGGGGCAAGTGATGCTCTGTCTTCTTGGTGCTTGGGGGGGGGGAGCAACAGTGGGAGGGCTCCTAGTGTCCTGGCCCCACTGCTGGACCTCCTGATGGCACCTGGTGTTTTTGGCCACCCTGTGACAGAGAGAGTGTTGGACTGGTTGGGCCATTGGCCTGATCCAACACTGGCTTCTCTTATGTTCTTATGTCTGGGGTAAGTGATGCACTGTATTCTTGGTGTTTGGGGGGGGGGAAAAATGGGAGGGCTTCTAGCAATCTTGTCCCACTGCTGGACCTCCTGGTGGCACCTGGTGTTTTTGGCCACTTTGTGACATGGAGTGTTGGGCTGGATGGGCCTTTGGCCTGATCCGACACTGGCGTCTCTGATGTCCTTATGCCCTGTAGACGGACCTTTGCCTGAATTCACAGTCCACGGCCTTCAAAGCCTAAACGTATCTGTCTAGGTCTTTTTGACACTGCAGTTAACGAAATGTATCTCGCCGAAAGTTCATACTAGCAAAGCTTCGTCTCATTAACGTAGGATGGGCTGGTTATTTGGCAAGTTTGGTATATCTTCATTAACTCCTCCCTCCCTTGATCCCTGCTGCCGACCAGGCCTCCCGTCCGAGTACCGATCGGGGCTGACTCTGCTCAGCTTCCCAGATCTGAAGAAATCAGGCTAGCCGGGGACATCCGGGTCAAGGCGCAAAGCGCACAGAGGCGGTCTGGCCCTTGCCTGCCTCTGCGTAGCAGCCCTGGGCTTCCCTGGTGGTCTCCCACCCAAGGACTAACCGGGGCCGACCCTGGCTAGCTTCCGAGATCTGATGAGGCTGGGCTGGCCTGGGCTACCCAGGTCAGAGCAAAGACAAACAGAGGTGGTTGGCCCTGGCCTGACTCCGTGTCACGATACTGATAGTCACCGGAGGTCTCCCATCCAAGTACTAACCAAGGCTTCCCTCCAAGCTGTGGAGTCTTGTGAGCAAAAATTCTGCTTTTGTGAGCGACGGGCATTAAAGCTGTGAGCGAGTGATTTGGCTGCTGCGTAAATTAGTCTGCTCTGGAGCCCTCCTTCCTGAGCGAAGGCAAAAACGTGTGAGCCGGAGGCTAAAAGACTGTGAGCTAGATCACACTCACTCAGCTTAGAGGGAACACTGCTCTGGAGCCCTCTTCCCTGAGCTGAGACAAAAACGTGTGGGCCGGAGGCTGAAAAACGCTGAGCTAGCTCACACTCACTCAGCTTAGAGGGAACACCACTCTGGAGCCATCCTTCCTGAGCTGAGACAAAAATGTGTGAGTTGGAGGCTAAAGAACTGTGAGATGGCTCACTCTAACTCATCTTAGAGGAAACACTGCTCTGGAGCCATCCTTCCTGAGCTGAGACAAAAATGTGTGAGTTGGAGGCTAAAGAACTGTGAGCTGGCTCACTCTACCTCATCTTAGAGGGAACACTGCTCTGGAGCCATCCTTCCTGAGCCGAGACAAGAACGTGTGGGCCGGAGGCTAAAAAACGGTGAGCTGGCTCACACTCACTCAGCTTAGAGGGAACACTGCTCTGGAGCCATCCTTCCTGAGCCGAGACAAGAACGTGTGAGCCGGAGGCTAAAAAACGGTGAGCTAGCTCACACTCACTCCGCTTAGAGGGAACACCACTCTGGAGCCATCCTCCCTGAGCTAAGACAAAAATGTGTGAGCCAGAGGCTAAAAAACTGTGAGCTGGCTCACACTAACTCAGCTTAGAGGGAACACTGGTACTAAACAGGGCTGACCCTGCTTGACCTCCAAGACCTGATGAGGTCAGGCTAGCCTGGGCTATGTAGGTCAGGGTTTTCCATGTTTGCCTGAAATAAAATGGTGTGGAAGTGGTCAAAGGCCGGAAGAAGAAAGAAGAAGAGATTGGATTTATACCACGCCTTTCACTACCTGAAGGAGTCTCAGAGCGGCTTACCATCTCCTTTCCCTTCCCCTCCCCACGACAGACACCCTGTGAGGTAGGTGGGGCTGAGGGAGCTCTCTTGAGGACTGCCCTTGAGAGAACAGCTCCGGGAGAACTTGTGACCGACCCAAGGTCACACCAGCAGGTGTCATGTGGAGGAGTGGGGACATCAAACCCTGCTCTCCCAGATTAGAGCCCGCGCTCTTAACCACGACACCAAACTGGCTCTCGGAAGTGAGGCAGCAAGCCAGCCAGCTGCGCCCACCCCCTGGGCAGGAAGGCCCGCGCCCACACGCCTGCACCGGCCGACCTCACCCACTCACCAGCAAACGTGGGGCCTTTCTTCTTGCTCTTCTGGATGCCGGCTCTGTCGTGCTCTGTGGTGACACAGCAAAAGCGTTCAGAAAAAGAAGGTGCCCACAGCAGAGGCCCCCTTGGCTTAGTGTCCCCCCCCCGATATCTTTTCAGTCCCTTATTAGACCAAGGATCCCTGGGGATGGAAGGAACCTTCTTTCCAGGTAAAGCCGATGGGCTGCCACTCGGCAAGGGCGTCTACACTTGACCAAGATGGGCTAACAAAAGCGGAGCTGAATCCTGCCCTGGTGAAGCCGGATCCTGCCCGACCTTCTTCCTCCCCTAACTCTGCGGCGTCGGCTCCAGAAGAGGCAAAGACCCACGGCACTCACCTGTGGCCGAGAACCACTTTGTGAACTCCTGCAGCTTGCTGGACCTCCTCCTCTTCCGCTTGGTGCCCGGCAGGTCGTCCAGGCTCCGGGGCACTGTGAACGGCTTCCCTGCAGAGAGGGAGGGGGGAAGAGAGGCTTCCGGGATGTGGCCGGCACACCACACTCATCCTCAAGTCCTGCCTCAGCATCCTTTCCAAAGGCGTGGCCATTCCCTTCTCCTTCATCACCCCCTCTGTTATCTCCGTGGTGACCCAGGGGACTCAGGTAGGATCCCGGCCAGGCACAGGCCATCCTGGGCTCTTTGCTCTGACAAAGCACCACGGACTACAACTACTTCAGACAGTGGCGGAGCATCTGCTTGGCATGCAGAAAGTCCCAGGTTCAATCCTGGGCCACAGCTCAGTGGCAGAGCCTCTGCTTGGCATGCAGAAGGTCCCAGATTCAATCCTGGGCCATGGCTTAGTGGCAGAGCCTATGCTTATCATGCAGAAGGTCCCAGGTTCAGCCCCTGGCATCTCAGATAGTAGGTGATGTGAAAGTCCTCCGCCTGAGATCAGACAGAACTGTCGTCGATGAGCCAAGAGCCTGATTCGGTATAAGGCAGCTGCGGGTGTGTTCGCTGTTCAGGAAGCTGGGCCTGGTGACTTTTCCTGATCACGCCTGAATTTCTTAGGCAAGCGGATGCCCCCCCCCTCACATGCCATGAGGGTGAAGCTGGAGTTGGGAAGGGGCCCCCGGGACCAGTCCTGCCCGCCTGCCTCGACTTACCTTTCTTCAGGGGCTTGTTATCCAAGGAACTGAAGGGGTCGAGGCTGCGCCAGGGGTCCAGCATCTCCTGGCAAAGAAACACAGGCCCCCGTCAGGGCTTGGACGTTGAACGCTGGACTGGCAAGGAGCAGCCCGGAATTCGAGAGGCGGCAGCTAGGGGACAGGCACAGGTAGGCCACTCCGGGTTCGGAAATACGTGGAGTTTTGGGGGGGCGGGGTTTGGGGAGGGGAGGGGCCTCGGCAGGGTACAACGCCACAGAGCCCACCCTCCAAAGCAGCCATTTCCTCCGGGGGAGCTGATCTTGGTTGTCTGGAGGTCAACTGCAATACCGGGAGATCCCCCAGCCCCCGCCTGGAGATTGGCAACCCTAGACAAGGAGGATCATATTCTAACCAAACAGACTCTGTGAGCCAAGCAGGTGGAGAGGTGCCTAGAACCCAGTGACATCTCTGAAGAACAGGAAATGTCCAACCCTGTGTGTTAATTAGTCCTGACACATGCAGAAAGGAAGACCCTTGTGATAAATCCGCAGGCTTATTCCGAGAATTCAATTTACAGTATCAAAGACTTCCCACCGAGAGAGTTGGCAGCAGGCACTGCTTGTTAAAAGTCATAGAATCATAGAATGTTAGAGTTGGAAGGGACCTTGCAGGTAATCTAGTCCAACCCCCTGCACTCTGCAGGAGCATAGTCGGAAGATAGCCCTACAACATACCCAAAAGAGGGTCATCCAGCCTCCCCTTGAAAACGTCCAGCGAAGGAGCCTCCACCCCCTCCTGAGGCAGACTGTTCCACTGCTCAGCCACTCTTACAGTTAGGACGTTTCTCCTGATATTTAGCCGGTAACGACTCCC